CTCCATTTTAACATTATCATGTATTATGAGCCACATTCCAGCCTTGTTTAATCATGCAAATTATCAGGCAAGATATGAAGAGGAAAAATACGAATTATTTAACACTCCTTCCCCTATGGGACACCTTTAAACTCATGCAAAACTGCACACACACAAAGCACAAGCTGTATACATTTCTGAATTCCAGCAAACCTGTTTCTAAGTTCAAAATATGTGACCCTGAGCTGCCTTTTCATAAAGCCTCACTGGGAAGTTCTAATTGTGCTTTGAGTTCACAGATGTGGCTAAGCCACTTCTCATTAAACTTTCTAGAATTCCATGAACCCTTTGACATGTATTTTCACATGTAAATATAAACACTGTCAAGCTTGTGAAACTTTGGTTCATTCTCCTCCAGACGAGAACAAGGATCAACCAACCACAAAAGGAAGAAGCCAGTTGGTTTTTTTTTTTTTAATATGGTACAGGCTCAATCCCATAGAAATACCCATTCCAGATTACTGCTGGAATCTGCTGTAATAACCAGCAACTTTGGCTTTTTCACTCAGCAGAAAAACATCAGGGTTTCACTATTAATGCCACATTTTTAAATAATATGGGTCAAGGAAGAGGAAACAGTGATCAAAAAAAATCCCAAGGAAGTGTTGAGTATCTTTTTATTGAAAGACAACAAACACAAGTGAGCCATTAATAGTGGCAAAGATGGGGGGAGGGAGGGAGGGAGGGGGAGGGTGGAGGGGATTTCAATCAGCCTTTTCATGTTTTATTCATTCTTAAGTAAGAAAGCCTTTCCCTCTGGCCAGTTTTTGCCTTTACTAACATAACCAGACAACAGGCATTGCATACATCCACTGTCAGATTGCTGCCTTGATTATTATTTCAGTTGTGACACATGGACAGCCAACCCAAGCACTAATAAAGTGGAATTTTCTGTCTGTAGGTAGACAAAAAAACAGCTGCTGTAAGCCAGAGATATTCAATCCTTGGTCCACCTGGAAAATTCATCCTACTTGCAATCTACTCCCACCACTGAGAAGTTCCTGATTGAGCCACACGATGAAAATGGAATATTGAGTGCACTGAATTGATGGAAAGAAAAGGTCAGCCATACTGTCAGGTCCTTCTTGCCTTTAAAAAAAGCTGAACACTCTGACTCCACCACAATGCTGGAATTACTGCCAAATTAAGCATCTGTAGTAAATGCTGATTTGTAGCATGAATCTTTATCAAATATTAATTAAACTCAAATAAAGCACGACTTAGTAAGTAGAAAAGCAGTTTTTAAAGCTGTCAGTGAAATGTAACAGGCATCTTTTAGAGCACAGAGACGTGTGCTATGAAATGTTAATTATTGCTCTTCTTTCAGGTGATTGGCTGAGATTATTGCTGGGAACCACAAATCACCTGGGAGAATTTCCAGATTTATCCAACACCAAGAGCCCCAAGATAACCTGCAAAACCCAGCATGTATCAGGAAGTCATACAGACACTGTCACCCAGAATCACTGAGGCTATTTCAGACAGTTATTTATCTACATGAGCTACTTATCTCCAGTCCAGCCTTATCATCCACAGGCCCTTCCTTTTGGCACGAGGCTCCTCAGGAGTCACTCTGAGTTTGCTGCCTGCTTCCTAAATCAAAAACCACGTGAAGGGGTGGAAATGTCTTTGAGGAGGAAAAAATGGTAGGTGAGGTGGGATTGTGCTTCAGGCTGCACAAAATACTTCACAGGCTGAAAGACTAAACTAACCCAAAGCAGTGAGGGAACAGATGTGGTCATGAACTCAGCTCTTTTACTTACAGTCCTCATAAATATTTGTGCAATTAATCCAACCTTAAAACCATCCAGAACTTTTCACTTACACAGCCCAGTAAACATTTCCAGTGTAAAAGAAGGGCTGCACGATCAAACCTCAGGCACATTTACAAGCACAATTTGGACTCAGATATCCCACTGGATTTGTTTTAATCTACATTTTTTTCCACTTACTTCAACATCAAAACAGTCAGTTCTCTTAATTTGTTTGCTCATTTTCTTCCTGTACCTGTCACTGTGATCTGCACTTACTGAACAGTTACAATTATCCTTTTTTATTTGTTTTTTTTTACTCTTGGCCAGAAAGAGCAAGTCTTCAGAACACATGTATTTAGGGTTTATATCAGTATACCCATAAAAGTGTGGTTTGCTCACCTGCCATTTATGCAGAAGGTAACACTGCAGAAGCAAATATTGATCTTTGAAAAAGTAGCTTTTTCATCATCATGCTCTCTTTGTACTCTCTCACTCCCACCGCACTCTCTGGGGTATATATTCTGAAATTTCACGCATACCATAAAATATCTTTGGAATGTTACAGTATAATTGTTTAGAGAAACATTTAATGGATGAGTAAGCATCAAGAGGCCAGGGCTAGGGGAAAAGTTAAAATGCTGGCAGCATTTTGTATTGAAAGATCTTTTCAGCATGAGGACCGGGGATGGGCATTTGATCCAAAAATCTGGTATTGACTCAACGAAACAAAAAACAAACCAGCATCCAGCACAGAGGTGTCTGAAGGCACTTCCCAAAACATCTGTGTCCAACCACAGCTCCCAAACCTGGCTCTGGGCACTGCCCAGCAGAGCAATCCAGGGCCACAGGAAATTATTTGATCAATAACATAAACATTTTGATAAACAACATGATCTTGACAATTGGCTGTTTTTTTCTTTTGGAATTGGTCCCTTGGTTTCCCCATTCCCAGCACAAATAATCTGCATGTGCATGGTGTGGAAACACAGCAGAAGTGACTGGAAAGAGCTGGGCACTGAGTACAGAGGCAGCTAAAAAAAAGCTAAACGTGCTTTCACTACAGGAATCTGCTGCAGATTTATTTAATTTATAATGTGCTGTAAATTAAAGCAAATTTTCCTCAATTCCCTGAAGGACTGCTCCTCTCAGAGATTCTGCAAATCCATTAGCACAGGTCCATCATTATAGATTTTTTGGGGTTTATGCACTGAAGAGAGTCTAAAAAAACACAAAATAAAGCATATGATATGGATAGATGAGTGGGACCTTAGATAATTGATTCTAATTGATTCATATCCTGATTAAATTATTAGAGTACAGCTGAAATGGCTTTTACTCCCAATTCTTCCTCTGTCCCACACTGTTTTAAGTAAGAAAAAGCAAAATAATTATCCCCCTATGCGAACTGCTAATTTGAAGACTACAAAAGCAGAAGTGCCACGTGCTCACAGAAACCAAGCAGCTCTTCTAGCTCCAAAGCTGGGAAAGCCAAGGTGCCCCAGGCTCGTGTCACAGCTGAGGTTTGACAATTGGGCACCTAAAATCTCCCTCAAGGGGAGCCTGTGGTGCTTAACAGTATGTGAGCTGGAGCTGGTGCAGCACAATTTCTCCAAAACTTCAGACATTCATGGAATTCTCAGAAATCTACTGTCTTTGAGGAACTTCTGTTTCTGCATTCAGCTCAGTGGAGAACAGGTAGTACGATAAAAATAATGAGGAACACGCAAATAGTGTGAATCTATAAAGCTCATCTTGTTAAACTCATTAAATACCACAAGTTCTGCTGGTTCCAAACACAATGTTTGATCCAAAACTGCTAATCTACCTGTAAATTGTATGATTCTAAATTATATGGAAAAATAATGCATTTATTAAGGTTTTAAGAAATATTAGTAGCATGTAAGATTGCCAGAGACTTCCCAGGTCATCATATTTGCATCCTACTGTTGGAAACACAATATTAAATAATCTCTTACAGAACACATTGATTCCCATCTTATTTAAAACAAGGGTTTTGGTTTTTTTTTTTTTTTTTTTTGCATAATCTCAAAATCAGAATATTTGTTTTAATTTTTCACTTAATTCATCAAAGATTAAGTGGCCATTTAGCTGAAACACTTCAGATTGTGTAGGACAAGCTTTTACATTCTCAAGCTTTTCTTTCTTTTCACCAGAGCAGTAATCCAGATGCTGTCAGATAAATACACTGGTTTAAATCTGTATTTTTTCTAATGCCACACTCACAGGCAAATCCAAATATTCCTTGGGTAACTTTTTCTGTAATTACCCTGCTTTGGTGAATTACAGGGAGCTGTAATACCACTGATTTTAAACAAGGTCTGCAGATTACTCCTTGTGTTACAATGACCATAGTGGGGCCTGCCAGTGTTTTTTTGGAGTTAAGGTATAATGGAGTTTATAATGAAGTCTAACAAATAAGGATATGTTAATCTTTTCAACCACTTAAATTCAAGGAAATCAAAACCAAATGTCTTTCTAACACAGCATCCCAAAACCCGAGCCCAAATACTTGGATCTCACAGCCTGCTGGGATGTTTTCTGCAAACCATCCATTAGATTTCTTATATTCTGTACAACATTCCTCCACAAGCTGGATTGATTTCTTCCACAGCTTAACTTGTTTTTGCCAAAGTCTCTTTTAGTCTCTATATTAGTTCAGCATTGGCCTCCTGCCTAATGAAACAACTGTTCTTTATGCCAAAAACTGTCATCTTCAGTTGCACAAGATGCATCTCACTTACAAACAATGTATAATGAGCCCAATGTTTAATGCCTGAAGAACTGCTGACTTAAAATCATCCCAAGCAAAACTTAAACAGATACAGGAGTGGTCAGTACCTTGGGTGGGAGAAGGACTATTCTCAAGAAAGATTTTTTCCCCCCTTTTGTATCGAAATCCACTTTTTGAAAAGAAAACCATAATTTTAGAACATGAAAGCATATGTAGTAACACAGGCAGTGAGACACGTGAGGCTCACTCCAAACCTGAAAGCTTCATTCTCACTCAGGGTGAGGTCATTGCTCTGTAATGATCACCTGCACCACAACCTTGGCTTCTCTTGAACAAACTATGTTTAAATCTGATCACCTTAATAAACTATCAAGTGATGGACTGAAAAAAGTCCATCCAAATAAAGCTGTTATGCTGTTTTTCTGTAATTTCAGAGCCAGCTGAAGCAGAGGTACCTGTGTAAGGAGCTGCTCCTGGCTGAGGTTGTTGATCCAGCGAGTGTATCGCTCAGTGGAGTCCAGTGGCTCTCTTCTCACTTGGCAACCAATGATCTAAAGCAGAATTACACAAATCCCATAGGTTAAACTCTGTACACCCACGTGGCAACAAAACAGTATCACAAAATAAACATTCAGGACATGGCAACTCCAGGAATTATCTACACAGTCCTTACTAGCCCCCTTCTAGGTTTATAAGGTAATACAGTACAGTTGCTCTGTTCAAATGTTAAATAGTTACAGACTTTAAAGGTCCCTAGGAATCACTGAGGACTATCTTTACAATAACCTCCTTTTTGGGAATATTGGAATAATTTTGGTTGAAATTTTCAAAGGAAATTTTCCACAGGCAGACATCTAGAATGCAAAATTTCAACCAAAAGTTACTCCACCAAATGAAAAGTGGAACTTGAGTAACACCAGACTATCCTGCCAACAGTCCCATAACCCATAATACCCCTCATTATTTTCAATTAATATAAAATAAGCAAAATCCCCTTCATATTCTGATTTATTTTGTTCATGGCAGAACAGTGCAGACACCTGATTTTAATTTGGTCACCGAAGCACTGTCCACCCATGTGAGCAATATCTCCAAATCTAATACTCTTCTGTAGCTGTAGGGGTTAAATATGAATTTTAATACTATTATGCCAGTAGGTGATCAGAAAGATTCCAATATGTATCAGAGAATATCAGCAGGATCACATGTATGCACAGACACACATTAATGCAATTTCATAGAACACTGAACTGTTCACAAATCTCTGATTAGAGAAGGAAAAAGCTGAGGAGAACCCCAGGAGTGTGACTGGACAGAACTCTGCTGTTTGCTCCACCTGAAATCTGCAGTCTATGAAAAACCTTCAGGGTATCACAGGGCTTAATAATTTATGCAAAGTATAAACTGTTTTATACCAACTGTTTTATACCAATTACTGCACTCCCATCATGGTGTAACTCTCCATTTCTCTTCCTGATTTTTCAGGTGCTTCCCACTGAGGATGTGTTTGTCCACTGAGAATTAACACCACAGGTTTTTAGTGTTTCTGAACACTAATTTCTGATAAGTTCTGTTCAAGAACAGGTGGGAAAACCCCTTGGTTTATTTTCCACCCTAAGCATTCATAAATCTTCCAGGTGTCTGTGTTTGCAGAGCTTTAAACTGCTCAGAGACTGAGCAGCCAGGGCAGAGCTCTGCATGTGCAATTGTGAATACTTTTGATGTGGGAACAAAAACACCATGAGAAGATCTTGCTGGGGGACTGCTGGCAATGGAACATCACAATTTAGAATATGATTAAATACAATCAAAATAATAAGCATGGAGAAAAAGAAAATGTTATTTGCTTATCCCAGAAGAATAAACCAGAATGTCTCTGAACTAGGAATGTTTCCTCAATGACAACAACAAATTACTGTGGAAAACTTCAGTTTCATCCTAACTTAAACCTCACATTACAGCTGAGTAAAACAAAGATATTTTCATAAGGTTAACCTAAAATTCTTTTACACTGGACATTAATTAGAAGAGTTCATAGAGATAAAAACATGCAAAAGTCATGTCAGATGTAGGTCTATCCTGTGTGCAAGGATGGTTTTATTTAAAAATAGAACTCTTTCTAGTATTCATTAATCAAAACCTCATTAGCCTTTTCTTGCATATCCTAAGTTTTTCTAACTTTCAAAGACACTTTACAAAACTCTGCATAAAAGGTAAAAGGGAAAAATTATCTTTATTTTATATCTCAAGCACAAGATGGACACAGTTTCTTTATTTAAAGAGTCACAGTGAAGCCGAACAGATACAGAATACAACGAGCTTTCAAAAGGTAAGAGATTAAAAAGGAGAATTTCAAATTTGTTTTTCTGAAAACCTGCTTCTCAATTGCAGCCACGTAGGAAGTGCAGTCATCTCTTTCCTGGCAGCTTGAAATTTAAATTAGAAGCAGAGGACAGTTTCACATTTTTATATTCATTTCTGAGCAGACTGATAATTTCATAAATGCTGTTGGTAATTTAAGCAAACTAAAGCAAATGTTGAATCCAGGTGCTCAGCTAAAGGACTGTAATTCCCTGAAGAACAACTGGTTCAAATCCCAACTCCTCCCACTTGAAGAGAAAATTGAACAGGTTGGATCAATTATCTGTCCACACACGAGGAGAGGTGAAGGCAGACAGCAGTGCCATTAAATCGGATCCTAACAGCTCTTTTCTGATTATACATCACTGTTTGTCATTTCTAGAGTTTGACTTCAAGTCTTAGCCAAAATTCCCTCCTTTTTCATCTAGCCACACAGATAATTCCATTGCATGCTCCAATTTCCTTCTCTCAATTTTAACTCATCACACTGGTTCTGTACTTACTGTATTTCACGTCTTACAGCTCTTTGAGCCTTTTGGAACTGAAAAAAAAGTAGGTGAAAATCCTCATCAAATAAAGTTGTTATTTAGGAATTACTGGTATTGCAGTGAGAAAAATCAATGGGTTACATTGAATTTAGCCATAATTTGGAGCACAATCTTTGGAAATGTAACTCTGCAACACAACAGGAAAATAGCTGCAAGCTCATTAACAAAGTTCACTGCTGTAGGAAGTGCTGTGTTTGCACTCCCCTCTGCCCTAAGAGCTGCTTTCTTCTCATTTGCAGAACCACCACCACCACACAAAGCCACTTTTATCATCATTTAAGAAGTTTGTTTTACAGACAAATGTGAAAATTGCCACGATGCAATCAGGTTCATTTCCAGATCCTCAGCCCAGCAAATCCCCCACCTCTGTGCCCTTCAGCTGCGCCATTCCCTCCCAATGGGACTCTGACTCGTGACTGGGATTTCTGACTTGTGCCCGCAAGATAAACACCACCAAGCTGAGCCTTTGATTCAGCATCTGCAAAGCCCAGCTCATGTAACCAGCTTCTTTCACACAATGAAAATCAGATTATTCAGAGCACAAACAGCTTCCTCCAGCTCCCCTTTGTGTAAGGTGTGGCAGCACAAGCAACTGCACACTGGTTCCATTTCCTCCAAGCCACACAGAGGTTTTATATTCACTGAGTATTTCCTTAGAGCTTTCAAACTGAAGTCAAAAGTTTTTCACTGTTGCTCTTCTCATAACATTTCAAATACTCTGATAAAAATCTTTCTGGCCTGTATTACACCCATCCCTTCCAACAACCTCTGCATCAAAAATATTCTTTTCAGTGTTTTGAGTATCTGTTTCTATGCAAAAATAGAGTTCATCCAAGTTTTAATTTTTGATCTAATTAGACAAGTTTGTTTCTATTATTACAAACTCTGGAGAGTGGCATATACCTGTACCTAGGCATATACCTTACCTACAAGTAATGCTAATATTGCATTTCAGCAAGTTTCCAGTAGGAATAAGAAGCCTATTGCATTTACTGTATATGCAATATATACAATAAATGCAATAGGCTTCTTATTCCTACTGGAAACTTGCTGAAATGTAATATTAGTATTACTTGTATAATTAATAATCTATATTATTTTTATATTAATGATATTAATATTACTTGTATAGGAAACAGTACCATGAACAATGAGTAACAGAAATTTCTGGCTCATAGCAAAGGACTATGGCAGTTCAGGAAAAAGTGAAATTCTCATCAGGGCAGAAAATCCTTTCTGTTACCACAGCAATAAGGTAATTTTCTTTCTAGACAGATAATTACTTTTTTAATGTATTAAAGGTAACTTAGAGCTCATTTAGCTTTTTATTTAATTGCAATCAGCATTAGTGTCTCTGGCAAAAAATATAAAAGAATTTATCCTTTATGGCAGCAAGAAACAGTAACAGGAAGAACAGTAAGTGCACAAAATAGGAGATTTATCTTAAGTACCAACAATTACATACACTAAAAGGCAACACAAGTAAATTTTAAAAACAAAAGTGGCTTAAAGTGAGCTCTGTAGGGAAGAAGTGGCCAAATATAGGATCAGTTTATGGCCCTACAGTGCTGCTTCACCAAAAGCTTCCATTACCTTCCAGTCCTGCCTAGATGGTCTCAGACAGGAGTAAAAATGACATTATTGGTCTTTATTTAGGCACCTGAATCTCTTCTGTAATAACTCCACCACTTCTCACAATTAGGAGTGGAGTTAATGAATTGTACCTAAATAACATTATCAGAATGAATGTCACAGACATGTTCTTTATTCTATTGCATTGAAAACATCTTCAGAGAACTATAAAGCCAGAACAACAGGAATATGATACCACTAAAGCAGTACAAATAACAATAACAAAAATAACTCTGAGGTTCTCCAGGTCACAGCACCCTGGAAATCAAAATCCAACGAGCACATTGAGTAAATTCAGAGTTATGCTCATGTTCAGAGGAACTGGGCAGGATTATTACACACATTACCAAATCCTGCTTAGAGCCAGCTCTAGTCACTGTCCTGTGAGGTACAGAAGTGTCCTGTGAGGTGAAAAAAGAGAATTTCAGTCCCATGTGTGACATGTGCAGAGCCCAGCGCTCTGTACCCAGTCAGACATGTCAGAACTCGTTCCAACTTTCACCAGTGGTTCTGAAATGCAATATTCAGGTGGAGATGTTTCTTAGTTTCATCATTGTGTTGTTTTATGTTTTGCCTTGCATGTTGAAGTGGAAAAGGAAGCGGGAGAGGAAACAAAAGTTTAAATGAATCGGCAATTATTAAAACCAAGGCGTTTTCTGCAGATGTGATGTTTTTGAGTTTTTAATCACTACAGCTTCCTTTACCACAAACAATCTTCCTTATTCAGGAGGCAGCCTATGTACTAAAGAGGAAATGAGGATGAAAAAATAATTGGTCTTCAATTTTATCCCAATCTTTTCCACCCTTGTTTTAAAAGAAGAGGAAATGAACAAAGACAGGCAAAAGCACAAACTCCCCACAAGGCAGTGGGCACTGGATGTACAAACACACCCAGGAAATTCTTCATATAATGTATCTTCTCTCAAGGAACTTTATTATTGAAACAGTTATTGAAAAAATATCCATTTTAGCATAAAAAACCCATGGCTTTTCTGTACAAAATAAATGCA